TTAAGTGGATGTTGATTTTTCTTTCTCTGAGTATTTTTAATACGAATGTTTTGACTCCTCAAACGTTGAAATTGGTCCACAAATAAGGGAGGAGTATTGTTCACAAAAAACTGCTTCACGTATTATAGATAGAGATTGAGGTTTCTATTTTGGGAGAGATAGCATTTAGGTAAACTAAAAACTGAGTTTTAATTAGGTTGTTTAATATATTCGTCGAAGTTGGTAAATTGATTTACACTAGCTAGGAACGTGCAAAGCTAAGTCAGTGCCCCAGCAAATACTATTAACATTATCCCTACTACTTTAGGTTTGTCTTTTACGTAGACTGGCTGTACAAAATTTTATTTGAAATTAACCTAACTATTAAATAAATCCCTAAAATAAATATGGAAATTACATTTTTTTTTATGGGGTTTCAATTGCTTGTGTTCAATGCTTTTAACGAAGAAAACATAAGTGGTAGAAATACCTGAGTTTTCTGCGATTTAAAATATAAAATTTTAAATGACACGGGCATTGATAAACTAAAATAAAGTGAGATGTTGAGACTTTGAAGGGCAACTGAACAAACTAATCTCAGTAGTCCATCTCGCAAATAAGTATCAATGCAATCATTATTAACGAACCAAAAGAGATTATTAATATCACTTTATTAAAGTGATGTTATTTCTAATTGGTCCTAAATAAGTAAAATATTACTTAAAATAAATTGCGAAAGGCAATTAGTGTTCACACATTTTGTTACATTATCTGCACATGTTTCTACATTAAATTTAAATTTAAAAACTGTACCCCAACAACCTTTACCAACATGAATTAGAAGTACTGTATCTTAATTTAGTAGTTAGAGGAAGACAGAAAATTAAGAAAAAATATCCACTAATTTCCACAGAATATTTGTATTAAGAGCCTTATTAAAACTATAAACATATTACTAAAGAAATAAAACAAAATAAAAATAAAATTCGAGCCAGAATTATGAAATAAGTAAAGGTTTTGACACGTAGGTAGAAAATCAAAGAACAACTCAGCATATGTGTGGAATATACACAGCGCCTTTTTTAAAGACACTTGTTTTTGTAGCCTAGGTCACCTAGATCGCTGGATAAATGGAATGTTGTTTTATACATATTAGAAAGGATATTACATTATATTACGTATCTTATTTTACAAATATTATAAATGTGAAGTTTGGGATGTTTGTGTGTCACATGTCCAATCAAATGAAAACTACCGGAACAATTGAGCTAACACAGTAAGAATATTTTAATTTTGAGACTTTCCTAGGGATCGAACCTTACTCCCTCGTTATTCCCAGTCCCCTTGTTATTTTTAGGAATAAACATAAAATTAAGATTAGCATTTTAGTACCTACATTATTAGCTGTTTGAACGTGTTTCTGTGTTGGTTTTATATACATGGTAATTTGTGAGTTATTTGTTGGCTAATTTTAATTAATGAGAGACAATTGAAATTATAGAATTTTACTACTGTTTCTAAAACGAAAGAGGATGTGTAACTATTTCAGACAGCAGATCTAAAGAAACGCAGCAATCCTCTTTTGCGTATTCTTCCCTTAGTGAAGCACGGGCATAGCAGCACTATTAAATAATTAACATTAGTTCATCTTCTCAATTTTTTCAATTTATATATGAAGGGTAAGCATCTGTATACTTTCCTATGACAACGAATAAATACAAAATATTGTAAACGTAACACAAACAAGTGATTTTATGAGTCAAATTTAATAGTAGACCTATTTAAAAAGATTTTGTAAAAAAGTAACCTGCATTGGATTACATTAAAAAAACCCCAAACAAATAAGAAATCTATACAGGGAACTGTTCTGCCTCTTGAACGGCTTGCATGACCGCGGTGCACACGCGGGAGGGTTTTCCAATTCGCGCATTCCTAGAGCAGCGGTCCAGCGCCAGGGGGGGCGAAGCTTGGCCTTGACCCTGACGCCGACCAGCGCAACTCCGCGAAACGTCTCCGTTGCGCATGCGTTGTAAACAGGGGCCTTCTGTGACGTCATTTATGTATGTTACATAGGGAGTTAAATATACATGTATCTAAAGAACATTAAAATTTTTAACCTACCGGTATTCATTATAAATGTTTTTATTGTGAAAACAATAATTACCTATACAAATTCATAAAAATATCTAAAATTATTTTAGAATGCAATAAATAAAATGAACAATTTAAATTTTGTATAAATATTTTCTGATGGTAATATTTTGACTGGCTCCTATTATGACAACTTAAAAATTGTTTTATTGTACTGTATTTAATACATTTTGTTAAATACTGAAAATGAAATAATTTAAAGCTTGGTAAAATCTGCAATTGCAAATTGCGTTAATAATAATAACGTTATAGGCTAACTGGTTTAAATTGATGAATAATTTACAGGAATACCATCATTTCCAGTATCTCTCTGACGAAAACTGTTGTTTCAATTAGTATAACATGTCTGATAAATGGAACTGCTGCTTGGTAGCCTAAACTTATTGCGAGTTGTTTTTATAATTTTAATAAAATAAAACAATCATAGTGTTCGAGGTACCTCTCAAAACCGTAAATCTGAATTGCTTACAAGTTGTTAGGAACTATGATAACTCAAAGATTTCAATTACAATTTTAGTCTGAACACACTGGACTATTTAAGGATAGCTACTTTTGAGTTATTTTTTGTGTATCAAATCACATGACGTATTCATCTACCTTGTTTCGTAGTTTAATGTCATAATGTAGGTTTGTAAAGTATTTCAATAACCAATAAGTCAATTGCAGACTATTATGGTTTCAATGACCATTGCAGCTATAACAAATGTTGCTGTATACGAAATCAGCTGATGAGTTAGTGACCAATCTACGCAACTCATCCATGTACATTTATACAACCATAGATAAAACATACTCCCTTTTATGCTTTATCTTTGATCCAACTTATGTAATTTAAATTTCAAATTACACTACTAGTGTGCGAGTCTGTGTGTAGTAAAAAATTAAATAAATGAAAACAAAACACTCGAGATTTCTAGTAAAGTGTTTGTCACTTTGTGTGTGGTAGAGTTTTGTGGTAGTGTTTGTCAATTAGTTATACAAAGTTAAGGAGCAAATCAAGTCAACCATTATTCTGTGCACAACACACCGACCAAACCAACACAATAGAAATAGAAGAAAGTAACGATACATAAAGATTCTCACCATAAAACATCTATAAACTCAAAAATGATAAATTTTGTAAACAATGAGGATAAGTTCTATAAGTAGGCCTAAACGAATACACATAGGCCCGGTTATATTATCTGTGGCACACTTTTATTTCAACGACTAGTTTAGTACTTCCCTATAGGCACTGACAGAAGCCAAATAGTTCAAAATGATATTAGAACTGAAACACCGACTCAAAGCAACACATTTGTGACGATAACCTTTGGCATAGATAACCGATTTTATAAATAAACTATGTAAATATTTTTGTTTTTCAGTTTTTCCTATACCATGTGTAAACTCCAACCCCTCTCATAAAAACGAAAAGAAATATTGTTGTCATGTTTTCCCAAAGATGTATTTCATGTTTTAATTAATCTCCTAGAAGAAATGTGACTAGATAATGATCTGCTTTAAAACAAAGTCTACATGTGCTATTTTAATACAAAAGATAACTATCTAGCTAAACTCTTGTGGAAATCTGTGGAATCTTATGAAAGTGACAAAATACAGTGGAACCTCGATAAAACGTCACCCTCGATAACAAAAGTCATTTTCGAATCCCCTTGAATTTATTTTACCCCTAATCACATGTTATTGCAAACCTCGATAAGATGTCAACCTTGTTATCAAGTCTTATAATCTCCATTAAAGTCTTGTTATTAGGGTTCTACTGTATATTTTCAATACATTGGTACAAAAATCTATTCAGTAAGATAATATACAGTATTTAACATCTTCATTCGCCAATACCCGGTTAAAAAAGTTTTAACAATATTTGATTATATGAGCTAATGTATGTTGCGAATCCAAGTGTTACAGTATTACATGTATCAGTATTATGTGTATATAAGAAGACGAGAAGAACACTTCTAAACTTATGTTCAGCATTATAATTCTGAAGGCAACGCAGAATGAGCTTAGAATAACATTAGTTGGTCAACCAAAAGGAAATCTAGAGGAAAACGACTTTCAAAACTATTATATTATCTTACCATATCCTTACTGAGTCCTTGAGAATGCAAGAAAGTGTAAGGTAAAGGTCAATTGGATTATATTACTAAAAAACATTATAATAACTAAAGTAGTAAAAACTGGAACGGAATTAATTAATTAATTTTTATTATTTAATATTATGTTTTTAAAACACCACTCTAAATATTGTATTACAATTTAAGTATTGTAGAATTTATAACTTCGAGGCACAATAGGTAAAAATGTCACATGACAGTTAAGTGCATCTGTAAATTTTATTCGTTGAATGTATAAAATTAAGAGAAAAATAAATCACACGCGATTGAATTTTACTAAATTATTAAATTTGTATGACTATGAAAGTCTTAACTCAATGAAGATTTTAAAATGACAACGCTTGAATTACGTTATTTATGTGATTAAGTTTTAATGCCAGTAGGCCCTACCTGATAATGAAACACTATCGAGTTACATAATGATATAAGCAGATGTAAAGACTTAATTAACCCTGTGACTGTGGATAATAGAAACTACATATTACGTTAATTCAACGTTCAGTGGTTATAAATAACATTACTTTGTTATTATTAACTTTTTACTATCCAGAAACAATTATGTACTCTTTACTTTTATGTATATTCAATATCTAAACATTTTGAATGATTTATTATTTTAATGCAAGTTTGCTATAAAACCCCTATTGTATATTTTAATTACTATCATGAAATGGCTATAAATAAACATGCATTAATCCGATCGTGGTGTAATTGCAAAGTAAATTAAAAATAATAACAACTAAAACATACCTGGTATATTATCAAGGTTATATCACAAACGAAGATATGTTATCCATTTCAAATATCCAACGTATGACACAAGCACAGTAAAACCACCTAACAAATTTAAAAATTAAGTAGCCTACACTGTTCGAAACAACTTTGAAAAACAAATCGAAACTAAAATACTGAAACTTGACAACTTGTTTCTCAACCTATCAACTTTAACCGAAGTTTACGCCACTGTATGATCAAAAACACAACTTTTTCAAAACCAAAACAGCGAAAACTTGGTGAAAACATTACAGACAGTTTGCGGTCAAATTCATTTCGGAGGAAGGTTTGCCGCGAAGTGGCAGCCTGCTTGGTGCACTAGCGCTCAGCCGCGCGGCGGACCACCGGCGAACTACAGCTCAACAATGATGTATGACGTCATACTACTCACACTAACCTGTCGTTAATATTCCTGTTGGGTTATCATCTGATATCACCTGTTTTATTTTCACGCTTATTATTTGAGGTGACAAGGAAAATTACATGGACGACTTGCAATTCTGTGGGGTTTCCCGGTTAAAAGCAAAGTCACGGTGACTAAGCAAATATTTGGTCGTATATGAAATTTTAGTTTGTTAATTAAAATTGTTTGGATATGCCTATTACCTAGAAAAACAAAGGTATAGTAAATTGATATCCTGGTAAGTGACACATCATTTGATATACTGTATTACACATGTTGGATATGAAAAGAATTATGAAAATAAATTAATTATTGTAGCCTAAACTAAATTTTTAAAAAGTGTTATGCAGTTCCCAAATTTTCATTAAAATTGCAACAATAACAGTAGGAACTTATTATTATTCAACTTTTATTCCAAGTTAAATTCAGTATGTAAGTAGTAACACTGCGTGGATGGACCCAGCTGGTCTAGTTGTTGGATTACAAGCCTTTTGTGTTGAAGGTTACGTTCAAACCACGCCAATCACCAATGGGTTTATTTAGCTAATAAAGTACCATTTTAATATTGAAGTTATTGACTTTGGACGCTGCAAGTAGAGTTTTCTCCAATTCTAAATTCTGAATATTGATTTGGTGTATGTTTAATAACTGGTTGTGTTTGAGTGCACTATTGATTCACTACCGAACGAAGGAATGAAAGAAACTATTTTGTAATTTAACACCTGATGGTGATACAGTTTAGATAACACGCGTGGACAATCACGCAAATGACCCGACACAAGGTAGTTAGCCTATATTAGTCATACAAGCTTTCCACTGTACTGTAATATTCCACTGTTCAGTGTATTACTTTACCGTGGTTTTTTTTATTGTTTTGTTTAAATTTCCTGCTGAAAAAATTTTACCGTCTTGTGAGTCAACAGTATAAGCGTAAATATATTATTACAAGTGTTATTAGACGTATATATATATTTTTTCCAGGTAATTTAATAACACGTTCGATGCTGATCAAATAGTTATTCAACAACTAAGGCTAAAAAGCTACAACTACTAAATGGAAAATATTTAGGAATGACTTTTTTGTTAAATTCATATTTTCGAACCTTCTACTCTTGTCTTATTGGTTATATTAATTTTGAATCTTTAATAACTCTTAGCTCGAAGTAAAAGTAAGTTTACTAAAATCTCAATTTTTTGGATGTGCGGATAAAGAAAAATGTTGTATAATATAAGAAACCTATAAACCATGTTTTTACAAACACGATATATCGTAGTACTGTATATCGTGACAAACGATATATCGCATTTGTAAAAACACGATTCATAGGTCTATAATATTATACAACAATAAACAAAATCCGCGCATCCCAAAATATTGAGTATTTGTTTCAAGTTATTTCTTTCGTTCGATATGCATTTCAATCTAGCCCACAAGAGGAAATTTATTATGTTCTTGGGTTGGTAAAATGGTAAAATCTTAATTATTTTGTTCCCTTTCTCAATTTGACGTATGTAGCACAATAGATAGATGCTATATTTGTGATGAAAGGCAGGCGTTACAAGGGTCCCCGTGTAGCCTCTGGTAGCCTCACCGGTAATATTGTTACAAGGCGGTAATATTGTCAGAGGCAGGCGTTACAAGTAGTACTGTACATTCCCATGTAACCTCACCAGTAATATTGTGTTTGAAGGAAAGGCAGGCGTTACAAGTAGTACATTTCCATGTAGCCTCACCAGTAATATTGTGTTTGTAGGAAAGGCAGGCATTATAAGTAGTACATTTCCATGTAGCCTCACCAGTAATATTGTGTTTGTAGGAAAGGCAGGCGTTACAAGTATCCCCATGTAGCCTCTCAACAGGCAGACTTACCGACCACCGCCATTAATTAAAACTGTAAATCATTGTCAGAACAAGTTTTAGCAACCAGTTCCGACTCGGACAGCGCTCAGTTGCAGATTAATTCTTCATAGTTTCTTCATCAAATGTTAATAAGTAGGCCTATATGGAATTAGATGATAAAAATATGTAAGTAGTAACACTGCGTGGATGGACCCAACTGGTCTAGTTGTTGGATTACAAGCCTTTTGTGTTGAAGATTACGTTCAAACCACGCCAATCACCAATGGGTTTATTTAGCTAATAAAGTACCATTTTAATATTGAAGTTATTGACTTTGGACGCTGCAAGTAGAGTTTTCTCCAATTCTAAATTCTGAATATTGATTTGAGTATGTTTAATAACTGGTTTTGTTTGAGTGCACTGACGTTGACTTAATCTTATCGTCTTCTGTTCTTTAGTTCTAGTTGCAGTTGCAACATTTGTTTGTAATAGATGTAAAGATGTACATCACACAGCACTATTAACAGAACGACGTAAAGAAAAATTTGACGTTTTGTTTACAGGTTTTGAATTTGGGGAGATATCAAATATCAAAATGATAATTTTGTATATACGCAGAAATTAATTACAATCCCTCTATATAAATATAAAATGTCTGAAGCTGATCCATAAGTATGACTAATCTGAAACATATGTTTAATCTGTACAAGTTAGTCATAATAATCAACACAAGTAAGTTTAATCATTGCAGTTACGAAAAAGTGTTGCGTTAACAACCATCCCTCTTTGGCAAGACAGGAATCAGCTGTTATTAAATTCATTTTATAAGTGTTCCTAGTGCTAACACGGAAGTAACTTCACAACTGTTGAGACTTGCATTAGGTTTTTTACCAAGCGACAGTTCGCTTCAATGTCAGCCACCGCGAGGTCACCCACTATACGCTTCCACAGGTAAATATCATATTTAAAAGTTTATGCAAAACTAGCAAATGTTGCGGGGCTTACACTAAATTTCGCGTAAATCTTTGATAGTTTTTTTTGGGAGCAAGCTAATAACTGAGAACCATGGATCGAACATATAATTTTATAGAATAGTCATCCTTGTAGCCTATTAGCTGAAGATAATTACAAGGTATGTTTCTGTCCAATTAGATTGTCTAGTTAGATAAACAAATGGAGATTGACTTGGTATGATATTAATAACAGTCAATCAGTCAATGTATTTATGTACATGTGTCTGTGTTATGAAACGGTTCTAGGCGTATTATGTTAAGACAGGTACGACAACTGATTATTACATAAAATACCAAGAATAAATAAGGAATTGCACTCAACAATATTACGTATATTTATTTTTACTTGAGAGTATCACAAAAAATATTTCAAAATGTTTTCTAGAGAACTTATGTTTGAAGAAAATAAGCGGGGCAAATAATACTTCCGTCTATTTTAAAAATGTGCATTTGGTTTCAATATCGGAAAAATGAAAGCCTATTAAAACATACCTACTGACTACAGAACTGAGTCTGAACAAACTAATAGATTTCTCATTCTTGTAGATTAGCTTAACACAATTTTAAAGTTTGTTTTGTTCGGTGAATCATAGTCAGTTTGAATATTTTACGTAAACTTATTAATGAATCAAATTTTAAACAATATCATAGAAAATTTGACTAAATAACGTCATACCATAGCGTAAGCATACTCCTTTGTATGCTTACTCTATGGTAAAAAGGAAATTTGCCTTTTTTTATTTGCAAACAAGTCAAAATCCTTTACGAAGGTGAATTTAAAGACTTTTTTGAAATAAAAACATTATTCTGATTGAGACAGAATAATCATTGTGCTATGCAACTCACCAACAACTTTTCCTGAAAGCTTGAAGCAATATTTTTGCACGGACCTAAAACTGTTTATTATAATAAAATTAATATTAACTAATAACTCTATCTAAGCGATTATCTTGTATATTTTATGAAACTACTTTTCCATATATTCTACACTCATTACTCACACATAGCCTACGTAAGCTAGGCAATAATACTACCTCGGCGTCTTTCATATTGTAATTAACACCTCAGTACCTGGAATAGCTTTAGGATATGCACATACGCTGATGTCATAGAACCGTAGAGAATGTTGTGTTTTGATCGGCCGCCGTGCTTGTTTTAGGTGCAGTTTCAACAATGGAAAATATGGAAAATAATCAGCTGATGCTTACTAACTCACTGTGAATCTAGTTTATGTTACCATGCTGCCTAAACACTGTAAGTCCATCGGTGCCAAATGAACGAGTTTACACTATATTTACTAGAATCAATTAATCAGCATTCAGGTCTTCACTTAATTGGGTTTCAAAGTTCAAGTTTTGTTTTATTCGATCACCCGATTGGAAACTAATTGCACTGTCGAATATTTTAACCATGTAAACAGGAATGTTAAAGTTTACTTCGTAGGGGTTCTAAAAAGATTTTTGTAAAGGAGAAGATTGCTTCAAAGCTAAAAAATATATCTGGTACATTAATTAGTTAAAGAATCTCGTTGTTGTCACTTTATACAAAAATTGGTACTTTAGTATTATACCGATCACTCCTATTAATTATAACCTAACTTAACCTAAGGGTGGACTATGTTTTAGGTTAGTTTAGGTTAGGTTATGTTACGTTAAGGAATATTTTGTTATTCAAACTGATTAAAATTTTATTTGGAAGTCGATTTATAGGTGTGGTCAGTATAATACCAAAGTACCCGAAAAATAATTTTTCTTTATTTCAATTAACTATCTAGCAGAATAAAATTATCAAGCAACTGTAGCAAAAAAAGTGAATGCAGTCAAGGGAGTGAGCTCTACTAGTAGGCTTATGTGGACCCGGAGATGCAAATCTTACAGGTGTTATTTAAACCGCTGCTTCCCTGTAGGGAAATTCGCTGATAATAACCTAATTAGATTAAGTGGGTTTCGCGAGCTGGGAAGACGGACTGTCACCGCTTTCTAATTGTGTAGATTAACATTTCATATTGGTAATCTAATTTCATTTACAAA